TCCTTGCACAGAGCCCCCGTGACTCATGTCACCCCAACCCTCCTGCTTTTCATTTCCTGCGTTCCGTTCTCTCGGCTCCCTCTTTAAGAACCCTTTCGTGAATCTGAGTCTTTGAGATGGCTTTCATCTGGCCGTTCTCCCTCAGGTTTACCGGAGAGATGGGTTAGTCCAACATCTCTCCTCGGGTCATCGGTATTCCTGAATAAAAGCTGACTTCCATTTTCACCGACATTTGACTTCTGAGTAGTTTGTTTTTGAAAAGGAGCAGGCAGCTGGACCTGTGTGCCTGGTAACAATAGAATGTACATCAGTAAGAGTGAACTCGAATGTAAACTATGGATGCTGGATAACGATGTGTCGATGTAGGTCCATCAATTTTGACAAATATACCACTCTGTTGGGGGATGTTGATAGTGGGGGAGGCTGTGTGTGGGGGGGGTGGGAGGTGTATGGGAATTCTCTGTACCTTTTGCTCAATTTTGCTGTGAACCTAAAACTGCTCTGAAAAATAAGGTCTAATAAAAAAATCAAATGTTTACTTCCTCATTCTCAGAGTTAAGGGAGAACTGCCGTGCCTGTCAATCAGTCTCTGGTGTTGGGAAAGAGGGAAGGGAAGCCCCAAAGCATGGTGAAGGCCTCGGGGTGGGGGCATCTGCACAACATGTCCCTGAGGTTAAGTAGCACACACGTGGATGCTGCAAGATCTTCCATCCATCTCAGCTAATTTTTACATTTAAAACTGTGTACATTCAGAAGATTTCTCCATCTGCTCACTCTTTAATTATTTTTAAACAACTCTGTGGCAAAGAGAAAGGGAAGGAGGAAATAAGCTAGAATGATTCATGAGCAAACACAAGTCAAGTAAGAACATGTCAATATTACTTGTATAATCCACCATCAAAAATGTCGCTCGGTAATGGAAATAAATCAATTAAGCAAAGCAAATATGGACACTTAGTTTTCACCCTCCTCAAGGTACAGAGACAAAATGCTTGCCATGAAAGAACATTGATCCTCTGTATAAGCAAATGGAAATTCTACAGGCCCAAGAACATCCTTTTCTAGAAAGTTTCTCAGCACCTGTTTGACTTGCTGAACCTCGTTTACCTGCTATGAATGGTTTAGTCACTTTTAAAAAATGAAAGAGCTTTTGATGCACACTGCTGATGTTTTAAAGGGAAGGCACTGACTCAGTTTTTGAGAGTCTATATGGAAACAATATATGATCTCTATAGGTGAAAAAATTCAGTAAGAGTTCAGAGGAAAATATCTTTCTAAATATCAAATACAATCTATAGGGGAAAAATGAATCTAGGTGTTCATCTAACATAGTTTGTATTATTGTTTTAAAAAGTTCTATACGAAATCCAGAATAGAAAATGTATAAAATTTGACATTAACATTTTAGTTCATCTTAGTTGAATGTGATTTCTTCTTGACCTAGAGGTTGGAGAAAAGGGCCCCACTGTCAAGGAAAAAGGAGAGAAAGGAGGTTGTGGTAGATGTGGGCGGGGCAGTGGCCTTTAAAACCACAATCTTTATTAGGTAAAGACAGTTAAAACTATAAATACTAGATCAGTTACAAATAAAACAAAATAGGCTGTCCAGTTAGCTTGGCTGGTCAGAACATGGTGCCGATAACACCAAAGTCCAGGGTTTGATCTCTGTACTGGCCAGCTGCTAAAAAAAAAATAAAATAAAATAAACCAAAAAATACAAATAAGACAAATATACTTAAGCATCGAGATTTTTATTTTTTTATGGGTGATAGTGAAATTGTATAGTTATTTGGGAAAAGTATCAAGGTTGTTCATTTTTCTTCTGTATATTAAGAGCTTGCCAGGTATGGATTTAAATCCCCAAATAGTTGGTAAATTAGTGATACGTATTTAGCTTTTTCAGCCCCGTGTTTCTGACCTCAAAAATGAAAGAGGACAGGTAGCTTGAACATTAGTTCTACGCTTTCATGACCTGTGTGATTTATACTTTAACAGGACGAGGATGGCTACGAATTCTTTTGTCCCCAGTGTCTGTGGAATAAATGATTTTATTGGCTACCAAGAAGAAAGGGAAACACTTGTCCAGTCTTCATGAAGCGTATGCTCCATCGCAGGAGTGGACTGTGAGGGGTTAACCCTCTCTCCCCAGAGCTGTAACGAGCAGGGGGTGATTTGTCACCTGCTCCCTGGCACTAATGCCCACAGGTCGATTGGCTTCAGGCAGTTTACTTCCCAAGAGGCTGCAACACATAAGTCGACAGTGGAGGCTTTGTCTTATTACCTCATCCGCTGAGCTTCACCCACACACCGTCCTCCTTAGGCAGGACTGATGGAAGGTCCCTGAGGTTGTTAGTCCTTCGTGCTCCTCCCTGGGGAGGTCTTCTGTTTTCTTTTGTTAGGTCTTCAGAGCAGCAAGGGCTTTCCTGGTGCTGTTCTCAGTTTAACATAAGTGATGGCAATCCTGAGTCGATTTCAGTCATTCAACACGTCTTGTTTTTTTTTTTTTTTTTGTCTTTTTCCGTGTCCGGCAACGGATCGCAACCCTCAGTG